CCCTATGTAAGTCTCAGGCTTGCTCCACAGTCTGAGCTCACGTGAGCATCTCTCCTATTGTGTCTGAAAGGCGTGGATTCCTTGAAAACATCTGTACCCTCTGGCTCTTATAATAATTCCACCTCCTTTCAGAAAACTCTAGGCTGTGTCAAGCTGACTGACTAGGAGGGTCGCTTTTCCTTTGCTGGGATGAAATGTCATGAAGGAAGAAGCTCAAGGGACACAGGGTTTATTTGAGCTCAGAGTTTTAGAGTTTGAGGTCACAGTTTATCAGGGTGGTGACCTTGCAGATATTACAGCCACAGTCAAGAAGCAGAAAGGGACAAATACACACTGGCTGCTTCTCCGCTAAACTTTTTGCATGCAGTTCAGGACCCAGCACAAGGAATGGGTACCACATACAGCAGGCAGAGTTCCCACGGCAATGCACCTGATCGAGATCCTCTCCTGCAGACATGATCCCCAGCTGATTCTAGATTGTATCAAGTTGAAAATTAACAAAAAATGTCCCAAGGACTTTTTCTTGGGGTGGTGGAGGTCAGAGGTCAGCTTCCCTGAAGCTCTTAGAGGACATCTCTCAGGATAAAGCCCATGGTGGGTGACCTTTAACGCCATACTTATTTGGAATACCGAGGGGGAAGAAGTGAGACTGGCCTAAGCTATGAGGGACATTCTTGGTAATCCCTCACATTCCGTCCAGACATTGATCGGTTCCGACCTCGGCCTGGCACTGAGCTGCTGGCTGGACTAGAGGTTATGATTGATACCCTTGTTCTTGCTCTGAAATACAGAGAGATTGCCCACACTACACACACTCCATCCAGAGAATTATTTGCTGTCCCTGAGGATTTAGCCAAAGATCCTGAAAAACTTTGGTTGCCTATCTAACCACCACCCCATACCTGTCTAGGCTGCATCTTCTGGGTTGTCGTGACAACTTTGACCTAACCATCTCAACAACAACATGGTATTTTATTGGATGAATCACAACTTAACTCCTCCTATACAAGCGGCTATTTTTAGCTCCTGAGGGCTGGCCTTCGAAAAGGACAGATTCTCCCCACAAGCCAGACTAGGCCTAGAATTTAAGACTTTGAATCCATGTCCCTTAACCCTGGCAGTAAACTCCAGTCCATAATGTTCTGGGGAACCTGGCCCTCAGGGATCTGGACTGGGTTCTTCCCCATTGCTGGGATCCTTCAAGTCGGGGTCGAAGAACCCTCTTGCTTCTGATTTTAGCAGCAGGGCTTTGAGAATGGTATTCTTTGCCACTTCGTCGACCACGTTGCTGGGTTCTTCTAAGTCTGTGTCAGAGGACCCGCTTGCTTCTGATTTTAGCTGCAGGGCATTGAGAATGGTATTCTTTCCCACATTGTCAACCCAGATGTCAGACATGGACTCCTCAGATAGCATCATTTCAGTGATGTCCTGGCTTTTCCTGTTGGAGTCAATAGACTCTCTGTTGATGCTGAGAAAAACCACGAGACATTTTCAATCGTAACCTCTTCTGGGAGGGATGGGCTTTCTCATTCATCTAGGTCCCTGGCTAAGCCTGTTCTTGGATTTCAGGATCAGGCTGACTCCATCTCCTGACCCAACTAGATCCCTTTCTTTCCCGGAATTTTGGACCTTTTCTCAGTGTTTCTGTCACCAGCTTTCACTGAATGCCTGCCACATGCTGGATCTTTAACAATGTGGGTTTAATCTTTTCATACACCCTTCAGGAGAAAAGGTCCTAACACTGAAAGAATTCATGTCACCTTAGTTCCCTCGTCTCCAAGGATAATACCCCAGTCTAGACAGGCATATGGGGCAGGGCAAAGGGAGGTTCTATGGGCAAGGAAAGCCAAAAAGAGGGGGAGAACTGGCAGGACCTAAGCTGGATCCAGGCCAGTGATCATATCCAGAAGACCTGGGGAGACGGCTTTGAACAGGGAGATCTGTCGTTGGGATGGACAATATCTGGCATACTCTCAATTCCCAGCACTTGTGACAAGCAGACCCTACTCATCTACCTTGAATCGTATTCCATGCTATCACGGAAAGGCTGGTTTCCTGTTTCTGGCACCAAGGAGGAGAAACACAAGGCCAAAACGCAAGAGAGACAGCAGAAGAAGACAGGCAGCTGTGTTTTGATATGGTTGTAGACAGCCAGAGCTGTGACGCCTCCAGCTGAGACGGCTATAGCCACCATACCCAGACCTGTAGACCTGAAAGCAGAGTTGAGAACTGGTTTAGAAGACATCAGAGGCTCAGAGGCTGGGTACAGTGAAAGGGAGAAGCTACCTAAAGTCATACCCTCTGCTCTTTACCCCGTTCCCTCCCAGTGTGTGACCTGGAAGAGCCTAGTTCTTTATTGACATAAGAGGGGTAGTTATTTCTCCTGGGCTGCCTTCTTGGATATCCAGAGTCAAAGAGTAATTAATCATGTACACATCATAATGGTGTATAATCATGTGAGGAAAGGATACAGCCCTGGGGTCAGTAAGATGGGGCTTCTATCACCAGGAACTCCGTGGTAGAAGAGGCAGAACCTCAGGGTAACCCAAACACATTACAAGCATCTGGTGTGGGCTGGTTAGTTTTGTCAACTTGGCACAGTTAGAGTCATTTGGGAAGAGAGAGCCTCAGTTGAGAAAATGTCCCCATCAGATTGGTCTATGGGCAAGTCTGGGGGCATTTCGTGGACTGATGATTTGATGTGGGAGGTACCAGCTAACTGTGAGCTGTGCCATCCCTGGGAAAGGTGGTCCTGGGGTGTATAAGAAAGCAAATGAAAATCCACGAGGAACGAACATGGAAGCCGCACTCCACCATGGCTTTAGATTTAGTTCCTGTCCCCGGGATCCTCTCCTGAATTCCCCATGAAGGTGTGCTGTGAGGGGAAGCAAAACCTCTCTTCCCCAGATGCTTTTGGTCTCAGCATCCTCCACAGCAATAGAAAGAACTAAGGACCAGGTGCCAGGCAGGGTCTAGAGTCAGACCCCACGTTATGGTCATTATTCCTTGTCAATCAGACAGAATCTAGAATCACCTGGGACACTGACCTCTGAGCATGATTGCAGGGGATCAGGTTACCTGGACTGGGAAGCCTTCCCGACCATGGGCGGCACCATTCCCTTGGCAGGGATCCTGGACTATGCAAGTGGGGGAAGGGAGCAAGCAGTGGCAGAGCATGCATGTAAGCATCGCTGCTTCCTGACTGTGCTGTCATGGAGTCAGGTGCTTCGAGCCCCTTCTGCCCTGCCTGCCCCACCATAAATGATCTGTTTCCTTGAACCGAGAGCCACGATACACTCCCCTCTCTCTAAGTTACTTTTGCCACGGTCATTGGATCACAGTGACATATAAAGAAACTAAGACATCATCCCTTACAAATGCCAGCTCTGCTACCTGCTGGACATGACTGACAACAGGGGCCTTACCTGTCTTTGGCTTTGTCAACTGGAAGAAGGTCGATGAAGGACAGCATTTGGGTTTTGTTTTCTGACAAGAGATAGGTGAGCCACCCCATGCAAACCGTGTTTAACACAGCAAATGTTTTTTGACAAATGCTCCGTTTGGCACTGTCCCATTCCACTCCTTCCCTTCAGCCCACCACACTCCATACCTGAGAGCAGTGGGGAGGAGCTCACAGGTGTAGATGAAGAACCCAGAGACACTGGCTACCATGTTAAACTGGCCAAGCAGAAGCATCAAGATTATCGTCGACTTCAGCTCTGGGTGAAGACAGCATGACCCTGAGTGTTGGGCCACCCTACCTTTGGGGCCTTCCAGCCTTCTCTCAGTCCCTTACCAAAGGCAACTGAATGGCCTTCCCCTACTACTTAGTCACCTAGCCAGCAGACGCAGACATTCAGCCAGAGGAAGTGTTGATCTGCATAGGCCCAGTCATTCCTGAAGTTACTACCCTGGCCGAGTTGAATAGGGCTTGGGGCAGGCCAAACACTATTTGGGGGAGGTAGAGTTTCTCACTGAACCTGGAACTTGCTGATTCAGTGAGATTAGGTGGGCAGCAAACCTGAGACTCTCCTGTCTCTTTCTCCCCGAGAGCCGGACTATGACATGTACTGTCCTGAATGCAGGGTAACCAAAGTCAACTCTTTATGTCTCTGCAGCAAGCGCTTCAAAAACTGAGCCATGCCTCCAACCCTCAGACTTCTATCTCCAGAATCCTATGCCTAGTTTCTTGCCCACACGTGAGATCAGTAAATCTGCCAGCTAGATTCAGTGCTCTGTGTAGCAGCAGCAATAATGTCAATACCAATAAACACCAGGCTATGGAAACCTAAGAAAGTTTCACTTTGTTGTAGCTAATCAATATCTGCTAATGTCAGGAGGATGCTGAGAGTTTCTCTGAGAAAAAGAAGGGAGCTCCTTCTGGAAGCATGCATTGCAGCCCCCTAGTAGGCCTTGGCCATTGGTGGGGCACCATAGCTCTGTGCACTCTGGCCCCACAGACCTACCAAGGTTCACTGCCCAGGGATCTTTGAGTTGCTGGCAATAATACCAGACACCAGGAGCCAGGCAACGAGCCCCTGGCAAAGCCCTCTGAGCAAGAATATTGGCACTGGTCCAGTATCCCACCATCCCGATGTTCCATGAGTAGATTATCCTAGACAGCATAGGTAGCCGGGAATGCTTGCCAATCAAAGGCTGCATATGAGAGGCACGGCCTGGGGCATGAGTTCAAGGAAGACTCTGCCACCATCTACTCTCATTTACAGACTAGATCTGCTTCTGGTGTGGACTGGAATAGAGTCCCGGAGACTGCCTGCCCTCACATACAAGGATAACCACTTTGGGGATAGCCTGAGTTCCTCTCTCAGGACTCTGAATGTGGATAATGCTGTCTTGGGGGCTGGGGTTTCCTTGAGGGGTGGGAAGAATGATACATGCAGGAAGCCACCTGCCGTGTGCTTTCAAGCCAGGCAAGATAAGAGACACTAGGAAGCCCCAGAAGAGAGCAGACTGGAGGCAGCCTTCGTGGCAAGTTGTACCTTGAGTAAGGAAAAGGAGGAAGAAACACGAGATGGTAGCCAGAATGAGGTTCGCGAAGAGGGAACACTTTCTCCCCAAATTCTCCAGTAGAACGATACAATACAGACAGGCTGGCACCTCCAGAATGCCTGGGATTATTTGTATGAGGAAGGTCTCTATCCCACAATCCTTCAACTTGAGGTTCAGTGTGAAATAGATGTAACTGATGGAAAACCTGAAACAAAACAACAAAAAAAGCAAGGGAGAGAGAAAGGAGGAGTAGGATGGAGAGGTGGGAGGAACAGCAAGAGGGAAAGAGAAGAGAAAGGAGAAAGAAGTGGAGGGAAGAGAAAGGGGAAGAGGAAGAGAGGAGAAGAGGGAGGATTGAGTGTAGGAGGAATGGAACAGAGGCAGAGAGAAGATGTATGTGGTAGGAATGACAGAGACAGGCCTGGCCCTCGGCCTGACCAACCTCCATGCTGTTCCTGTATTTGAAGCCAGCCCCAGCAACTCACCACACACAGGCCATGGTCAAGACCACCTTGAAAAGGTGCTGATTGGTTTGGAAGTCCAGGATCGAGACCTTCTTAACCTTTGCTGGTGGCTGCAGCTACAAAACAACAAGACCAGCCAATGAAGTCGGGATACCAGCTTGCTCTCTGCCCACAAACACCAGGCAAGGCCTGCCCCTTCCCCAGTGCTGGCCACTCTCTGGCCTTGGCAGGCAGGGCTCAGTTTTGTTGCCATCATTCTGAAGCAGTAGACTAAGATCCCATGAGAGGATGAGGAAAGAGGCCTTCCCACAGTCTGCAGGCCTGGCCTCACTCCTGGCTCAAGGCTTCTTACCTCATTCAGTAGATTTAAAGGGATGGTCTTCTTGTTCACCTCAGCTGCGTAACACAGAACCTTTTTGGCCTCGTCCACCTTCCCTTTGACCATCAGCCACCGTGGGGATTCTCGGACAACCCTGTGTGACCACCTCTCTCTTACTTCACAATTCCAGGATGCCCCAACTCCAGCTGAGATGCCTCAGCTGTGGCCATCTGTATCAGCATGTGACCAAGGAACCTTTAGGTACCACCAACCTCAAGATGCCTTCTGCTCCTTGGTGGAAGCCAAACCTTCTTTCAAGCCTCCACAAACCCCACTGCTTAGTGATAATAGTCAGTCTCTTGATCTCTTTGCCCTGTGGTCTCTTTAACTACCCCAATCACCTCCCAGTTCTGCTTTCCGGCCCCAGGAGTACTGATACCTCTGTCTTCTGCAGATACATGCAACACTTACATACAATTTTTTTTTTTTTAGAAAGCAGCAGAGATGACTCAGAGTGGAACTTCCACGGAAGAAATCTTGAGCTGGCCATCTTGCTCCATGTGGTATGTGCCGGTATTCCTTCCTTGATGACTATGGTTTACCACATGCACACAGAGATACCTCCCACAAGGCTAGCAGACTAGAAAATAGGTTGTGATCCCTGACCATGGCAGTATGGACCAGAGCTGTCGGAACACTGCAGAGGCAGTTGCATGGCCGTTGCTGTGGGTCACAGGACAGGCAACTGAAGCTAAGCTGACTGCCCAAAGGGAACCTGTCCATAGCAAACAGAGAAGCTGCAAAGGGCAGACAATGACTATGATTTGGCAGGAAAACTAGACAAGAGGGAAGACAGAGGGAAATGCTGGCTTGGCATTTTGAATATACCTTGACTTCAAAACTGAAGTCTAAAGGTATGTTACTTTGGAGAAGAGGATTTGCTTTTGTTTCCACAGGAAATGAGAGGCTGTGGATTCATTCTGAGTTAAGAAAAATCGGGTTTGATCAAGGAAGACCATCTAAGAAATCCCTGGTAAGAACAGATGGCCCAGATGTCTGTCTGAGTTCTGCATCCAGAACAGATTCAAGACTGCTGCCTGAGATGATCAAGCCTCACAGGATACTCCAGTCATGACTTGATGATATTTCTCAATTTTCTTTAGGTCCCCATAAGATTATCAGAGCCCCCAACCAGCAGGAAGTAGCTTGGAAAACTATGCCCACATTCCCCCCAAAAATGGACTATGTATATTTTCCTTTGTTTAGAATGTTGGTTGCAAGTTGTTATGGATAATGGTCAGGAGAAAAGTTAAACAAAGGATATTAGATTCAGAGTTCTTTTTCCTTAAAAAAGTGGGGGGGGGTTGCTGTGGGACAATGGTTTGTAACCTGTCAAGTGTATGTTAATAAAGTGCTGATTGGCCAGTAACCAGGCAGGAAGTATAGGCAGAACAACCAGATAGGAAGTAGAGCTGGGTCAATTAATACAGGAAAATTCTGGGAAGAAGGAAGCAGATTCTGCAGTCATGACCCAGTCACTGAAGAAGTAAGATGTGACTGCCTCGCTGAATAAGGTACCACCAATGTGGCTAGCATAGACAAGAATAATGGGATAATATAAGTTATAAGAGCTAATAAGTCTGAACCTCTATGCCAATCAGTTTTATAATTAATGTAGACTTCAGTGTATTTCTTTGGGTTGGGACAGAAACACCAGTCAACACACAGTCACCTAGGAGATAGGCCTCTGGGCATGTCTGTAAAGGAATTTCTATATCAGGTTAGTTGAGCTGGTGATAGCCACCCTAAATGGGGGCAGCATCCCATGGCCATGTTCCCAGACTGAATAAAAAAGAGAGAGTGAGCTGAAGATCAGCTTCTCCTTCCTCCCTCTTCCACTCTCCTCTCTGACTCTACCTACTGACTTGGATACAATATGCCAACTGCCTTAGCTCCTGCCATGATGAATTGTAGCCTGTAACTGTCAATCAAAAATAAACCTACATCCCTTCCTAAGGTTGCTTTTGGCAGGGACTTCATCATAGGAATGTGAATTGTAATTAATATATCCTTATTGTTGCAGTCATTTCTTCCAAATTGAAACACTCTCTTCTGGAGGAGGAGAAGGAGGAGGAAGAGGAGGAGGGAGGAGGAGGAGGAGGAGGAGGAGGAGGAGGAGGAGAAGAAGGAGGAGGAGCAGAAGGAGGAGGAGAAGGAGGAGGAGGAGGAGGAGGAGGAGGAGATACACCTCAGGAAGCTTAGAAAGTTACAAGACTCATCCAAAGGTTATAAAGGCAGTTAGATCACACAGCGTGATTCAATCTCAGGACCTTTGCCCCAAAGGCAGCAACATTCCTTACTTTTCTCATTTCTATGATAAAATGTCCAGCTAAAGCAACTTAAGGAAGAAAGTGTCAGAGTTCAAGGGTCCACCATGGTGGGGAAGTCACAATGGCAGGAACCTGAGGCAACTGCTCATGTCACATCTGAAGTCAGAAGTGGAACAATTGATGCTTGTAAGCTTTCCTTTTTATACAATCCAGGATCCCAGCCCAGAGGATGATGCTACCCACAGTGGGCTGATCCTACCATCTTGACTAATCAAGATAATCCCTCAGAGGCATGTCTCCCAGATGATTTGAGATCTCATCACCATAGAAGCCCACAAAGCCATTGTTGTACAGTGCATTTATAGGAATATGGTAGACTGTGCTAGCTCTAGAGGACCCTTGACACACGTTCTCACAGGTAGGGCTGCTCCATTTCCTTGGTAGTTCATGCTAAAAGTACAGAGGGGGCTGAAGACATTAAGAACCTGGAGACTGAGGGGAAATCCTCCAAACAGTGATAGGAAGGAAGAAAAGGGAAAGAATGTAATTATGTTATAATCTCAAGAAAAATTTTTCCTTTTTTTGTTTGGTTTTGGTTTTTTGAGACAGGGTTTGGTGCAGAAGAATTGTCTGTATTCTGTCAATTATGTTTTAAATAAACGCTGATTGGCCAGGCAGGAAGTTATAGGCAGGAAAACAAGACAGGAAGTAGAGGTGATGCAATGAGAACAGGAGAATTCTGCGAAGGAGGAAGATGTTTTCTCCCAGTCCTGCGCAGAAATCCGAGGAAGCAGGATGTGTCCTGTCTGAAAAGGGTAGCAAGCCATATGGCTAAAATAGATCAGAATAATGGGTTAATGTAAGTCTTAAGAGCTAATAAGAAGCCTGAGCTAATGGGCCAATTTGTTTTATAACTTCTGGAGATCTCTGTGTGATTTTCTTTGGGGCTTTCCAGCTATGGGGTATCAGGCAGGACAGAAACCCCAACAAGCAGGCCCCTTCTTGTTACAAGGGTTACTCTGTGTAACAGTCCTAGCTTTCCTGGAATTAGCTCTTATAGACCAGGCTGACTTTGAACTCACAGAGATCCACCTGCCTCTGCCTCCTAGGTGCTGAGATTAAATGTGTGTGCCACCATTCCCCGGTAATAAAACTATTTTTTAAAAGGCAAGTGCTCCAGCCTCCAGATTTGTTGGAGAGTGTTACAGCTAGAATCAGTCCTGACTTGGCTTAGGGAATCCTTGGAGGAAAACCACCTAACAGAGTGGGTCCCACAGTGTGGCCTGTGAGTTAGAATCACTGTTGGAAACATTAGGCATGTAGATTAATAGACTCCACTGAGGCCTGCTGTTACAGACAGTAGGAGTAAGGTTCAGCTGTCAGTCCGACACTGGGGGTGGGGCCCTTGGACTGACTGTGGACTCTGGGGATGGGGTCCAGTTGCTGCTCAGACACTGGGGGTGGGGTCCACCTTCTGGTCTGACACTGGGGGTGGGGTCCAGTTGCTGTTATTTTCAGGGCAGTAATGAAGCCTGAGGGTCTTCTATATGCTAGGCAAGCTCTCTACTACTGAGGTACATCCTTATTCTTTTTTTTTTTTTTTTTTTTTTTTGGTTTTTCGAGACAGGGTTTCTCTGTGGTTTTGGAGCCTGTCCTGGAACTAGCTCTTGTAGACCAGGCTGGTCTCGAACTCACAGAGATCCGCCTGCCTCTGCCTCCCAAGTGCTGGGATTAAAGGCGTGCACCACCACCGCCCGGCTACATCCTTATTCTTAGTTATCAAAGTGACATTTACTATTATAAGGAACAGTGGCTGAAAAGAGATGGAACCTTGCCAACATATGTCCGGTATTGAGGAATGATTAGCTAAAAGAACATGTCTGAAGGCAGGGGCTGAAGAAAATTATGCCCCAGAGAATTCAGCCCACTGAAGACAACATCAGCTCTAAGCAAGCACAGCAGC